CCACCTTTTGTTATAAAAAAAAAAAAAAAATATGATTCACGAAAATCATGTGATATTTATGTTTTCTAAATAAAACGAAATTAGTATTTTTGTTAACAATTAGCTAAGTAACGATTAACTTTGTCTAAATTTGGTTGATTTAGTCCGATCGATTTTTTTAATGAACGAACTGTTCTGTACAATTAACGACAGGGCACTTAATTGTTTCGTCTCACACTTAGAGTGATAGTCAATAAGAGATCGTTAAACAAAGAGCACAACTCATCAAATAAACACGAGAACAAATGTAGGTTAGTTACAAAACTTTTAGACGTGTTTACCACTCGTGCGCAATTCTCAACAGACAAACATCTTAGACTAGAGCTCTAGCTGTTATAAAAATTACGTTATCAAATGTCCAACCACAAAGTAATAAAATTCTCGTCCTAAACTATAGCCAAGGTGTTTGTTAACATTATTTTATACTACAAATTATTACTGTTAATTCAATTACATAAAAAAACATGAGGCGATCACTTTACACAATTGTATGTTGAAACTGTGCCACTGCGCGGTTTCATAAATAAAACTGGCCACTGTAGAGTCTAATGACACTCAATATTATTACTAACTCTAGCATGTTCTTTGAAACGTTTCATTAACCGAGTTTCAGATGGAATAAAGAATAACGAAAGGTTTTCTATCGCATTTGGATTGTAATTGTTTAATCTGTGATCATTTAACCGGTAGACTAGCTTTGCTTTAGATAAAAACCGACGGCTGGCATTTATGGTGACCACCCCGTTAGAAACATAAAGTCATGATGAGCACATATTTTACATAACATGGTAAGAGTGGAGCAGGGTTGCGCATCGCCTAATGTAAAGGCTATTTGGCATTCTGCCACATCATTAACGATTTTGTAATACTAATGGTCAATATTGACATTATTCGGAAAATGGGCCTCTATAACAAGAGTTTATTTGCATATTTTCTACATCGAAAAGTTCACCAATGATTTTATTACATAATATGAACTATTGGTATTGAGCATAAAATCAGGTTGTATTGTCAGGAAGTAGCATTTGGAATTGGGTGATAATTTACAGTTATTTTACAATTTAAGTGAATAGAAACAATTTGTGTTTAACTAATGTAACGTAATAAGCAA